GCTGACTGTCATACACTGAAGCAGTTCCGGCGGATGACGCAAGCACGTATGAGGTTGCGCCTCTGAGGTATGCTAGTCTCGCGAGTTTGTTTATAGGAGTAAAGGAAGCAAAGTTTCCTTACTTTAGCAAAGGAAAACCAGTCTCTTCTTGGTTTATATTGAAATCCTCCTACATTTTTCTTTGCAAATCCTCGGTTTGTACTTCTAATTCATGACTGGCGTTTTGTTTTGTTTCTCCGCATTCGTCACTAATCACGTAACACCGACGTGCTGCGTCATCCGCCGGAACGGCTTCAGTGAATGAGTCAGCGGAAGTGAAAGAAAAGTGTTTATTACATTTGAAATATGGATATTTTTCTTACAAAAACACATGGATTCACTACAGAAGGCCTTTATTCAGCCCCCGGAGCCGTGTGAGGCACGTTTCATTATGAATGCGCGCGCTTTATTTGAGACTTTCTTCCTTCCGTGGTGCACAAAAGGAGAAATTTCGAAGAATGTACTGGCTGCTCTTTTCCATATAAAATTTAATAGGAATAGAATTGACATTCTCCAAAAAAAAAATCACAATAGAAGTGTTATAAAATCATGTGATAGCTTGAATGATAATTACAAAATAAAACAAAAATTGACGTTTGATGAAAAAAAAATCGCCGTTGACGTTAATGAAACTTCAGCCAAGCAGAAAATTGCAAAGTAATTTCTGCCTATTCTACAGAAGACTTGAAATTTAGAGCTTGAGTTGTATGGGCCAGTGTTATTGTAGTGTACTATTATAGTTTTTATTAATATTTTGACTTATATTTATACTTTCAGTGTTATTTTTTAGTTAAATTTTTAGTAATTTTTTAATGTGTTTTAAGGTCCTTTATTTGAAGGTCCAATTTTCACTATTAACTAGCTGCTTATTAGCATGCATATTACTGGCATACTGGCCGTTTATTAGTACTTATAAAGCACATATTAATGCATTATTTAGCATGACTATATTTTAGATCCCTTAACCCTTCCCCACACCTAAATTTAACAACTACCTTACTAACTATTAATAAGCACCAAATTAGGAGTTTATTGAGGGAAAACTCTT